GGATCGAGGAAGAGGGGGGGGGTTCCCCCCCCCCCTTTGGGGTTATCTAGCTGCACGCCCTCGGGTTTTTACTAGTGGAGGCTTTCTTGGATCGCCTCGTGGTCGCGTTTTCAAACGTCTTGGACACCCATGGGGCCGCCTGGCGGCGATCTTGGGCGGTTTGGACCGAATCGTCCCCCGCGTGGGCCGTCTGGACAGCCTTTGGGGGCCCTCTTGCCAAGTTTTGGAGCTTTCTTGGGACCGTCCTGCGGCTTTCCTAAGCCGTTGTTATGGTTTCTGGAGCCTTCGTGGATCGCTTGGACGCCGTCTTGGAGCCTTTTCGGGAGCCTCTTGGGCTGGCCAGAGTCGATCTTGGAGGCCTCTTGGGCCGTTTTGCGCCGCGTGGAAGCCGAATAGGCGAATGTGGTGAAAATGCACGCGTTCCCAAAGGAATGGGGAGATAGTTGCTTCTGGAGGGCCACTTTGGGGCGCATCGTAATATTGTTTCAAACGTCTTGGGGACTTCTGGAGCCGTGTGGAGGTAATCTTCGGCGTTTCGGGGCGATCTTTCGTCGATTCGTAGCTCTCTTGGACCGTTCGGGGAACCTTCGGAACCTTTTTGGACCGTTTTGGGGCCTCCTGAGGCTCCAAGTGTGCGGATCATAGATTTGCCTCCTCCCCCCCCATCCAGACTGGCCGGACCAGGCCCCGGGGGAGGGGTTTGGGGAGGGGGAAACATCTCACACGCCGTGACCCCAAGGGCTCGGCGGATTATTTCGTCGTCGTAGCCGTCCACTTCCATCCGCCTGCTCCGCCTTCCGCCAGTCATGCTGCTCGTCGTGGTGCCGCTGCTCCTCTTTCTTTCTCATCATCTTGCTCTGTTTCCTGCTCGTCTACTACTTCGTGCTCCTCCTCCTTCGCAATTAGCTCGTAGCTTGCGTGCTGCGACCTTGACGGCGCCCGGCGTCCTCCGTTGCGCTCGCAATCGAAAGTATCCCCACCAGCCCATACAGAAACGATGCCTAGGGGAGTTCAGATGATCAGGGAAGCGGGGGAGAATGCAGAAGAACAAAGGGCGGGGGAAATTGTCATATAGAGGAGGAATCGTCGTCGCCGTCGTCGTCGTCATCGGAGGACGAGGGGGAGTGAAGAGGGGGAGGAGGACGAGGAGGAGGAGAATGAGGAGGAGGAGCATATTGAGTAGGGCGAGGACGAGGAGGACGACAAGGATGAGAGGGAGGAAAAGGAGGAAAAGGAGGAAAAGGAGGAAAAGGAGGAGGGCGGGAGGAGGGGGAGGGGGAGGAGGGAACAGGAGAAAGAGGTGGATGAGGAAGAGGAGGACGGCGAACCGAAGAACCATACGCTTTTTGAGTGCCTTTTTTTCCGGAGATCCTTTTGAGGTTTCTTGGGGGTCTGGCTGGAACCTCTTAGAAGCCTCTTTGGCGCCTCTTGAGGCAGTCTGGGCGCCTCCTGGGGTCCTCTTGGGGCGGTCTTGGGTGCCTGAGGGGCGCGCTTGGAGGTATTTTGGAGGACATCGATCAAATTTGCCTGGCGAAGGACCCGACCATATGCAATTGTGAGTACAGCAATTGTGACTACCATTGTCGCCCGCGCTCCCTATGTGGCCCCAGCTTCCAGCCGGAACCCGACATGCTCAGGAACACGTTTGTGGCCGTTTTCGCGGGCGCCGACGACGACCAAGGACGGCGTTCCTCTGACCAAGGAGCACAAGCAAGAGAGGGCTTTGAGAGCCATGAGGGAGGAGGTGGCGTTGTACGTCGGCACGGCGGAGTACGACGCCCAGGCGCGGTTGTTGAAAAAACACAACTATGGGGCCACGATCCTCGTGAGGGGCGTGTCGCAATGGCCCGAGGCCACCATTCCAACCCTGCCACTGGGGCCTTCGGTGGAGCTCCCTGTGGGTCCACGATCCTCGTGAGGGGTGTGCCGGAATGGCTCGAGGCCGCCATGCGAACCTTGCCACTGGCGCCTTCGGTGGAGCTCCCTCTGGGGCCGCGATCCTTGTGAGGGGTGTGCCGAAATGGCCCGAGGCCGCCGCGCGAACCCTGCCACTGGCGCCTTCGGTGGAGCTCCCTATGAGGCCACGATCCTCGTGAGGGGCGTGCCGAAATGGCCCGAGGCAACCGTGCGAACCGTGCCGCTGGCCTCTTCGGTGGAGCTCCCTATGGGGCCACGATCCGCGTGGAGGGTGTGCCGACGTGGCCCGATGCCGCCATGCGAACCCGGCCACTGGCGCCTTCGGTGGAGCTCCCGATGGGGCCACGATCCTCGTGAGGGGTGTGCCGAAATGGCCCGAGGCCGCCATGCGAACCCTGCGACTGGCGCTTTCGGTGGAGCTCCCTGTGGGGCCACGGTCCTCGTGAGGGGCGTGTCGACATGGGCCGAGGCCGCCATGCGAACCCGGCCACTGGCGCCTTCGGTGGACCTCCTGTGGGGCCACGATCTTCGTGCAGGGTGTGCCGAAATGGCCCGAGGCCGCCATGCGAACCCTGCCACTGGCGCCTTCGGTGGAGCTCCCTATGGGGCCACGGTCCTCGTGAGGGTTTGCCGAAGTGGCCCGAGGCCGCCGTGCGAACCCTGCCATTATGGCGCCCTCGGTGGAGCTCCCTATGGGGCCACGATCTTCGTGAGGGGTGTGCCGAAATGACCCGAGGCCACCATTCCAACCCTGCCACTGGGGCCTTCGGTGGAGCTCCCTGTGGGTCCACGATCCTCGTGAGGGGTGTGCCGAAATGGCCCGAGGCCGCCATGCGAACCCTGCAAGTGGCGCATTCGGTGGAGCTCCCTATGGGGCCACGATCCTCGTGGGGGATGTGCCGAAATGGCCCGAGGCCACCATTCGAACCCTGCCGCTGGCGCTTTCGGTGGACCTCCCGATGGTGCCACGGGGCCACGATTTTCGTGAGGGGTGTGCCGAAATGGCCCGAGGCCGCCATGCGAACCCTGCAACTGGAGCTTTCGGTGGAGCTCCCTATGGGGCCACGATCCTCGTGGGGGATGTGCCGAAATGGCCCGAGGCAACCATTCGAACCCTGCCACTGGAGCCTTCGGTGCAGCTCCCTGTGGGTCCACGATCCTCGTGAGGGGTGTGCCGAAATGGCCCGAGGCCGCCATGCGAACCGTGCCAATGGGGCCTTCGGTGGGGTTCCCTATGGGGCCACGAAACGCTGCACTGGGTGGGTGAAGCGCAGGGAGGAGGGAGGAGGAGGAGTGGAGAGGGAGGAGGAGAGAAGAGGAGGAGGAGGAGGAGGAGGAGGAGGAGGAGAACGCGGGGCGACGGCTTTTCAAAACGAGGACCCAACACCACAGGATGGCTGGGAAAAAAGAGGGGAACTGTAATTAGCTTCGCCTTTTGGGGGACCCCACGCATCGCCTCTTAGGGCGCTTTTGGAGCGTTCTTGGGCGTTCTTGGGGCCGTCGTGGAGCTCTCTGAGAGCACTCTTGGGCCATGTTGGGCCATCGGAAGCGGAAGGTCGAGACAGCAAAACAAGGTTATATATACATATATATATAATAATAATAATAATAAATATATATAAGGAACGGATTGATGTTGGCATCGTCGGGGCTTCCTTTGAGGTTTCGGAGGTTGTTTGGAGACGTTTTGGGGCGTTCTTGGGCCTCTTGGAGCATTTTTGGCGGCCATGTTGAGCGATCCTGCGTTATCTTGATCCATGTTGGTGGTCGTTTTGGGCTCTCCGAGGCCCTCTTGGGACCATCTTGGGCCATCTTGGACGCCTCGACCGCTCGCGAAACGTTCCGTCCAAATCCAGGGGGAGGGGGTCGGGGGAGGGGTCAAGACTCACTCCCCGCCCGCAAGCCGTCTCGTTCACCCCCACCCGCCCCCAACACATACGTAGCACCCGAGCCTGGCCCGAGCCTCAGCATATTCAGCCGTCGTTTTTGGATGGGCAGATACTGGGCGCATCCGCCGCCGCCGCTGCCGCCGCCTCCGCCGCCGCCGCGCCGCCCGCCGCCGCCGCGCCGCCGCCGCCCCCGCTGCCGAATCGCCGCCGCCGCCGCTGCCGCCGCCCGCGCCGCCGCTGGCCGCCGCCGCCGCCGCCGCCCCCGCCCCCGCCCCCGCCCCCGCCCCCGCCGCCCCCGCCGCCGCCACCGCCGCCGCCACTGCCGCAGCCGCCGCAGCCGTTGCCGCCGCCGCCGCCGCCGCAGCCGCCGCCGCCGCCAAGTGTATTCTGGATTGTTTTTTGACAGGGATGGTTGGGGGAGGCAGCATCGGGTTGGCTGCGCATGCTCCGCCTTTGCAGGCAGAGTGTGTGTTTGTATGTTTTGTTAACCAGGGATGGTGGGGGGCTGCCCGTATTGCTCCTGGTGGCTACCAGACGCCTGGGGGAGGGGGTGTATATTAATAGGGAACAGTGATCAACCCCTTCCCGAAGGGGAGGAGGGAGGGGTGGAAAAAGGAAACCCCTTAGACCACCTACGCCCAGAGGGCTGTTGGGATTTGTATGGTTTTCCGTTTTCATCCTCCTTTTCTTCGTCCCCTTCATAATCCAATGTGGAAGCCTTCCTTTCGTGATTGCGACCGCACGATGGGCCACTTCGAAAGACACGGTCCTCAAGTGCTTTCAATTGGAAAGGACGGTTGGGAGGGGCACGATTACAAATGTACAGAGAGAGAGAGAGAGAGAGAGAGAAAAAAAAAAAGAGAGAGAGAGAGAGAGACAGAGAGAGAGAGAGAGCACACCTGGTTTGTCTCTAATGTCCCTCTCCCCTTGTCCCTCGTCGTCCCCCTCCCCCATTCCTGTGTTCCGCTCGACGTTGACCCCCTTTATGCGGATGTCCTGTCCTGTCCTGTCCTCCTCCTGTCATCCTCCTGTTTCCCTTCCCTCCCATCCCTCCCGCCTCCCTCTCCTCCTCCTCTCCCCGTCCTCCCCTCCGTCCTTCACCCCTCCTCCTTCTTCTCCGCCTCCCGCCTCCCATCCCTCCTCCTCCTCCTCCTCATCATCATCATCATCATCCTTCTCCCCCTCCCCCCTCCCCTCCCCTCCCTCCTTCCCCTGTGCTCCCCATACCCTCCCCCCGCCCTCCTGGGAGGGGCCCAGCGGCTAGGGCGTAGCCACCTCCGCCCCAAGACGACGCTTGTGCCCGGCGGCGCTCCCCGTGAGGTCTGCTCGGTGCCTCGCTGCTCCTGCCCTTCTTCTACATTCCCATGTCGCTGGGGTACCAGGACGCGGCACGGGAAACGGAGGACGAAGGTGGGGGGAGGAGGGAGGGAGGGGGATGGAGGGAAGGAGGAGGGAGGGATGGAGGGAGGGAGAGAGGGAGAGGAGGGAGAGGGGGCAGGAGGAGTGGGAGGCGGTCAGACTCTGAAGGAGGGCGCTTCGAACCCCACTCCGTGAGGCACAAGTGCGGAGGCGGCATGGATTCCAGGCAAGAAAGGTAGGTTCCCTGCTCAGCGGGAGAGAGGGCGTAAAACGTGGAAAGCCGCGTCGCGCTCCAGGAGCGCTGCGAAGACCCTCGCCGACGGGCCTTGGCCCATTCGAGCCATACGGTCGCGCGGTTCCCAGACATCCCTGCGGCGGCTCGGCGGCGGGGACCGGCCTGCGAGGCGAGCGGAGCATTGGGGCGCAGCATGCCGCCCAGCAGGGCGTCCCGCTGGGCAGGGCGTCCGGCGTCCTGCTTGGGCGCGCGATGCTTGCGGAGGAGGCAGGGGGCCCAGATCTGGGCCAGCTGGTCCGCGGCGCTGCGCAGTAAGACAGAATGACAGCAAGGCGGAGGCCACTGCGCTGTAGGCTCAGTTCTCGGTGGGCTCGACGCGCCAGGTGGGGACAATCACCGCGAAGGCGGCTCGGCAGGCGCTGACGAGCGACAGGGGAAACACTGTAAATCAGCTCATGCACGGCGCTGGTGGCACAGGGTAGGAAGGCCACGCAGTAGGCCTCAGCCTCAACGGAGACGTGGCAATGGCGGCGCAGAGTGGGAAGGCCGCACAATAGGAGCGGCCCGACGCCTCGCGCGTAGGCAGCAGCTTCCCAGGGCGCCCCTTCGTCGGAGGAGTCGACTCGGGTGGCGGAAAAGCTGACCAAGGAAGCTCGGCGGAGGAGGGGCCGCCGAGCTCGACTCCACCGAGCGCGCGGTGGATCTTCTGCGCGAGTGGCAGAGGTCATACGTACCAGGGCCCACCTCTCGATCCGATCGACCCGTTTAGACATCAATTTCAGCCGTCCCGACTCGATCCCGATGTTTTGGCAATCCGATGCGTCCCGACGGTCGCATGGCGCTGCTGCGCATCCTGGCGAGGCCGATCCGATTCGGTTCCGACCTTGGTGCCATGCGGCCTCTGGGAGGCCTCAAGGGGACCTCTGGGGTCCCAGGGCCGCCTTGAGTTACCGAGCTCTCCTGGAGATGTTCGCTGAATCATTTCGGAGTCGTTTGGGCGGGTCGTTGAACGGGCTGAGAGCCTTCTTTGGCTGGTCTTGGGCTATTTTGGGCGACTCGCGGGATGTTTGGGAGCTGTCTTGGGGACTTGTGGGAATATCAGAGCCTTCCCAAGGCCACGTTTAGTTGAAAAACATAGGAAATACAAGGCACCGAAGCCTTTTAGGCGGTCAATGTTTTGTTCCTAACCATCCTGTGGTGTTGGGTCCTCGTTTTGAAGACACGGTGCCCCGCGTTCCTCTCCTCTCCTCCTCCACTCCTCCCTCTCCCTCCTCCCTCCTCCCCCTCCTCCTTCCTCCCTGCGTTTCACCCGCCCAGTACAACGTTTCGTGGCCCCATAGGGAGCTCCACCGAAGGCCCCAGTGGCAGGGTTCGCATGGCGGCCCCGCCCCATTGTGGCGCACTCCTTACACGGTTCGTGGCCCCATAGGGAGCACCACCGAAGGCCCCGGTGGCAGGGTTCGCATGGCGGCCCCGCCCCATTTGGGCGCATCCCTCACACGGTTCGTGCCTCCATAGGGAGCTCCACCGAAGTCCCCAGTGGCAGGGTTCGCATGGCGAACACGCATTTTGGCGCACCTCTCACACGGTTCGTGGCCCCATAGGGGGCTCCACCGAAGGCCCCAGTGGCAGGGTTCGTATGGCGGCCCGGCACTATTTTTTTGCACCCCTTACACGGTTCGTGGCCCCATAGGGAGCTCCGCCGGAGGCCCCAGTGGCAGGGTTCGCATGGTGGCCCCGCCCCATTTTGGCGCACCCCTCACACGGTTCGTGACCCCATAGGGAGCTCCACCGAAGGCTCCAGTGGCAGGGTTCGCGTGGCGGCCCCGCCCCCTTTTGGCGCACCCTTCACACGGTTCGTGGCCCCACAGGGAGCTCCACCGAAAGCCCCAGTGGCAGGGTTCGCATGGCGGCCCAGCCCCATTGTGGCGCACCTTTCACACGGTTCGTGGCCCCATAGGGAGCTCCACCGAAGGCCCCAGTGGCAGGGTTCGCATGGCGGCCCAGCCCCATTTGGGCGCACCTCTCACACGGTTCGTGGCCCCATAGGGGGCTCCACCGAAGGCTCCAGTGGCAGGGTTCGCATGGCGGCCCCGCCTCATTTTGGCGCACCTCTCACACGGTTCGTGGCCCCGTTGGGAATTCCCCTTGCTTCGTCCCACTTGCTCTGCGATTCTCGCACTTGCGTAGGGTTGGGTCCTTCGCCAGGATAGTTCTCCTCTCAGGATTTTGTCGGCAGGTATGGGCCAGTGTGGCCGGCTTTCGAGGCCGTGTGGGAGATCCTTTGATGCAGCATTAACTTGTCTTCGTGGGCAAAGTCTGGAGGGGAGTAAGCGTCCCATGGGGGGAGCTGTCCTTCAGTATTCGAAACCCTATCCGACAGCTATCGGGCATCCTGGCGCGCCCCAAAGCACCGATTGCACCTTGGCGGGTTTAGGGAGGGGGGGGGAGAGACAGGCACAGAGAGAGAGATAGAGCGAGTGCGAGCGAGCGATCATATGGAATAGCATCATACACACGTATATATATATATACACACCACAATCATATATATACATATATATATATATACATATGTATATATGTATGTATGTGTGCACATGTATAATTGGAACGGGAGAGATAGATAGGGATGACGAAGTTCCGCGATGGACACATCTTGAGACGTACAGATCTAGATGGGGAGGGCGCGATCTATACATATACGTAGAGAGAGAGAGAGAGAGAGATGGAGAAACGCAACAACACGTACAGAAACGATGGGCACATACATTTACGCAGGGGGGGGCAGAGAGTGTGAGAGAGAGAGAAGTAGAGAAACACAAGCATAGCGAGGGAGAGAGAGAGAGAGAGAGATGCGGAGACAGAGACACAGATAGAGCCAGAGGCAGAGGCAGGCGCAGAGGCAGAGACAGAAGCAGAGACTGAGGGGGACCAGGGGGGAGGGAGGGAGGGAGTGAGGGAGAGAGGAGTGATGAGAGATGAGAGGGTATGACAGGGTAGCTGGGGGAATAGCAGGACGATGCGGCTGGAGCGAGGAGGACGATGAGAGAGCAGGAGGACGAAGAAGCAACTGGGCCCCCGTCGCTGGCCCTGGGTCGTTGCTGCCATTATGTACCAGGAGAGCATGACCTCGTCCTTGGGCAAGGGGATCTATTTCGTGGTCTCCATCCTGGCCCTGTCCTCTCTGAACCTGGGCCGCACAATAGGTTTCGCGGGCCCTCAGGGGTGGGGGGCAGGGGGGAGGAAGAGGACGACGTCGACAAGGAGAAACATCAGCAGGAGGATAGGAAAGAGGGCAACTGACATCGTGTTTTAATGTGCCCCTCAGATATCTGTGCAACCCGCGACATGTGGCTCAAGTAATTGTAGCCACCACCAGGCGGTGTGGCATAGTTTTGTACTTAGTCCTCAGTACCACCGTTGTGCTAACATTGGAGCTCCGTCCTGTACCGCGCACTGTAAAACAGAGCTCCGTCGTCAGTACCACCCTTGTGCCAAATTCGCAAAGCAGCGGAGTGAGGTTACGGCAGCGAGAGCGGGCGCAGCAAGACCCACCATTCGACAAACAATGGGCAGAACACAGTCTTGGGTCTAACTGGTTTCACCGCGTATAACCTCTGTGACTGCGGGCTTACCAGAGCTGGCCTACAGGCTAACCATGACGCGATGACGAACTATTTTCAATAACGATACCAAATGGGCAACCAAACTTTGCCCAGCGAACACGCGATTTCACGAAGGAAGATGTTTGGACCATCTAGTACGGACGTTCTTGCGCATCCCTATTCGTGAAACAATTACGGTATGGAAAACGCGCAGGTGAACGCGCGAGTGGCCGAGGAAACGACGAACACCAATGCGACACTCGCGCCCTCATATTCTGAATGATGGTTGTTGGCAGAAGCGAAACGTGTCAAAGGCCCGGAAGCGAATCAAAGGCGACTCAATCGTTGAAAAGCCTCAGCGGAGACGAGGCGACCTTTCGAGAGCGGAATCACAGATTCTTGCACGCCCTGGCAGAAGTCAGCACTGGGCATCGTGAGGCCCTCTGAGAGTCAGTGTTTGACCAATGGACAGGGTTGTGTCAGATTCGAGCGAAGAAGGTGACGCCATAAGTAGGCCGAATGGAATCACGGCGTCGAAGTACAACAATGCATCGCCAGAGAAGCAGCGAAAAAATTAGATGAACGTGACGATGAGTGTGCTGCGGACGAGGATGAATCAATAGTATTGATGAGGACCCCTGGCGCGTCCTATCCCAAGAGCTAGCGAGCGCTAAGGCACGGGACAAGCTACGCGGCCTTTAGGCAGGCGAAGGATTGGTTGCACGCACGAGAGATTTAACAAGTGGTATTCGGCAATAGTGGGAGTGACCCAATCGGCCAAGATGAGCTGATCCATGAAACCCGACAAGCCCAAGAAGGTCAGTGCCACTTCATCTCAACTCGGGCAGTGGGGCGCCCTCGTGGAGAAACTGGAACATGCGTCAACTCGCGCGTGCTGTCTGCGCCGTTGACTATCACAGTGTTGAAACATGACAGAATGACCGGCGCTGGGGCGCGGCTTGATAGCCGGCAGCAGGACTGTGTCAAGTCACCCGATCGTCAACAAACCAGCTATGCCACAAGCCGCAATTGCGATGCGACGGCTGGGTTAGGAAAAAACGATTGGACGCTTGCGCAAAGAACAGCGATGCAATGGGCATCGGGAGAGTGGACTAATGGAATATGGCCACGTCTCATTGGTTTTCGGGTGGTGTTGCCATGGGTGCGATGATGGAGATGGCAATGCGAAGCCCATGGGCAAAGATGGCTACCTGGGTTGGGGCGACAGCCTAGGTTGGGGCGAACAGGACGTAGATGCACCCCATGCAGGCAAGGACGAAGTGCACGCGATGCGGTAAAGTGTAGGAAAAGGGCCACGCCGCGACAGGCAGCAGAGTCAAAGGCCACGGCAAGTACATCAGCAAAGGAAGGGCACCCCGGCTGGCAGACAGGATGCAACGAGGGCAATTGCGGTAACTGCGTGGGGGCTGGTAAGCAATCGGGGGAAACAGGCGGCGGACTCGGCGGCAAGGTCTGCGCGCCCATCAGCGAACGTGACTTCTACAAGCGCGGCCAAAAGGGCCGCGTCGCGGCCGACGAAGCCGGGCAATCGAGCAATATGCAGGGGACATACAGCCATGGGCACCTTGTGCCAGGGATGGCCCCGGATGTTACGCCGCTGCCCGGGAGTGCCCCGGTCCGCCCAGTGCGCGCTAGGAAATGACAGCCGGGATAAAGGAGAAACGGGCGCGTGAAGTTAGACATCGCTCCACGTGTAGAGGAACGAAGTGCCGTCTCTTATATCCGTGGTGTCCAGAGGCTTTTTTTTAAAACGACGCGGAGCTTGCGGTGCTCGCTGTCGATTCGGGGGCGCATGGCGCGGTTGGGCCGCTGACGGTTGGCGCGCGCCCTCCAGCGGAATGCGCGGAGGTTTCGAACGGCGACCGTCGCTGCCGCGGCGCGCCAGGGGTCGCCGTGCTTGTTCGTGAGCAAGGAGGAAAGGCGGCGCAAAGTTAAGCAGGTGACGAGGTCGCGATGCCCATGCAAGTAGCCGGCGTAAAGGAAGGGGAGCAGATCGCAAGATCGTCTTCGTCGGCATGTGCGCGGCCAGCCATGCAGTTGCGCGGGGCGCGAAGCCTCGGGTAGGAAACGACTATTTATTAACGCGGTGGGACATTTAAATTCACCGTTCGAGCCCCGTGAGGGAAAGGAAGATGAGCCGTTGCAACCTGTGGGCGAGGCAAGCAGTTGGGCCGATTTCCAGAGGCAGGGGTTCTTCGTCAGCTTGAAGGCCGCTTGAAGTAGCTCCACCGCCTGGAACGATCATGGGGGCATCAAGACCAGAACATGAGAACTGCGATCGTGGACCAAAGAGCTCGCGCAGGAATTCATACTCTCGGGCAATGATCGTGAGATGTACCATCACAGTTAAGCGACTGTCAGGACGTCCATCGGTTGGAACGGGCGCTCTCTCGAGAGGCCCGCCGTGACCTGGTGCTGCGCGACCCGCTCTGTTGCCGGGTTCCAGCCTCGCGGTTTCCGCGGCCTTTCTCGCCGTTGAGGCGAACAGGATGCCTTCCCTAATGCATTGGCGCGCGGTCTCAAGGACGACGGCGTCCTCTGGCTGGCCCAGCTGCCAGCAAGGTGTTCACGCATGCGGGCCACTGACCAGATTTGGGCTGTGGCCCCCTGCTCGGGAGGCGCCGGGGGTGTGACCGCGAGTGGGTCGCGCCGAATTTGCCTGGCCCGCGCCGCCCAGGCTACATTTGCGGGCGGGCAGTCTGAAGGCGCGACGGCGTCGCGCACGCGACGACGAAAACAGGTTTTCATTGGATAACGTCAAGGCCAGGCTGGGAGTCCAGTCCGGCAGTGTCAAGGAGACTAACAGTCTGGATACCTAACTATGTCTTGATGGCCTGTGACCGCCGCCGGATGATAGAGCAGTTGGCTAACCGCCAACGCGAAAGCATACAGGGGGCCAAGGTCTGCGGTAGGGGCGCGAGACTGCGGCCAAGCTCGAGGAGGCCCAGGTGGGCGAGCATGCGAGACCAGTTGTATGTCCTTCATTTCTCTTCAAGGCCTGTCGTGTTTGTAACCAATGCAGTTGTTCAGCAGTTCGCTATGGTGCACATGGCAGCTGCGACGAGTATTAATAGAGCCGATATCCCGCCATCACCAACATCGCCTTTTGCGCTGCCATGCTGCATCTGCTCTGCTAATTCATTGGTGCCTCTTACCTGTCGCGTGTGCGCACTCAGAGCAGCGTGCGTTTGTCTACGTTTTTGGTCTCGGCATTGTCACATGTCTGTCGCTCGTTATGTGACAGTTCTTGTGCCGTTGAGTCTGATCCAGTTTCTGCTTGTGGCGCGCGAGTCATCGTAAGTGACCCGGATCGGGCCATCAGGTCGAGAGGTGGTGTTTCAACGCGGTTTTTGCAGGTAAGTGTGCAAGACGTGAGATTTGTTTCGTGGAGTTGTAATCGTCGTCAGGCGGTGCGACGTAACTTTGCAATTTCGCGTCCGCCGTCCCCTTGTAGAACAGAGCTCAATCCACGTTGCCGCCAATCTGTTAAATTTGCAGGGCGACGGGGGCGAGGACTTGCACGAGGGCGCAACGTTAGACGCAAGTGTCACTGGGGGGGGGGAGAAGGCCAGGCAAGACGCGCATGCCCAGATCCACCTTTTTGCCGCCTCCTCCTCGTCCCCGTCTGATTGCACCATAATCCGCGGCCCAAGATGCGAGGGGACCAGCGATGAGGGCAGCGACATCTGACTACTCAGGGGGTGCTTGCAACCCCTTGTAGCGTGCTGTGCGCGTAATAAGTGCGAGCTGCAAAGCATTTCGATTCTCCACGCTCTTCAGGCTCACCCCCGCCACATCAGCCGAGTAAAGAGCGTGTGTGTGGGGGGGGGGGGGGGGGGGGGGGGGGGGCGCCACGGAGGGGCGCAATGCTGGCGCGCGCGGGGGAAGGTGGTGGTGGACGAGCCACACCAGCGCCCAGCAAAAGCAGTGACTCCTTTGGCGAGGGGCACTGCGATCGCCTCAGTTCGCAAACCCACGACATATTCCATCTCCAGCAACCTTTTCTCGCACACTGTCTGGAACTCTTCCGCCTTCATTCAGAAAGTGTCCATCATGCCGGCAAACACGCGATAGAATTCAGCATTCTTCATCCACAGGTTATCGACCGATTCGCCTTTTTCCTAAAATTCTTGGGCTCCCTGGAGGACCGCGACTCGCACGGCGCACTTCGCTTCGAAGATCCTCGAATTCTCAACTGACGCGTTCTCCTGTTCCTTCGTTCGAAATCTCTTTGAAGGTCCGCCAATTTCACCAATGCCGTCGCCTTCTCCTCGGCTATGCTCTGGTCCTTCACCTCCATGACGTGGTTTCCCTTGGAAGCGCCTACCACGGCGCCCCACACTTCGGGCCAGCAGCGCCACGTTCGGGTAGGCCTTCGCCTTGCGGCACCGGCCAGCTTGCCCACGCGCAAGGCCAGGGCAGCCTCGCCCCTCACCCAGTTGAGCTCAGGGAGGCCAAGACGCTGCGCCCTGCCCAAACAGCGCTGGGCGTTCACTGGGAACCTCTCCTGCTACATTCTTGCCGACACGCTGCAGAAGCCCCGCGCCAGCGCCTCCTCGCCGGCCGCCGAGGCTGCCCTTGAGCAGGCACCCGCAGCAACCCGCAACCAAGGCCTCCAACACTCTTTGGCCGCCGCCCCGCCCGGCGCAGCTGGCCATCCGAGGCATTTACCAGCTCCGCCAGTCGCGCCCAGGGGTCCCTCGGCAAGGAGGAGGAAATCAGACACGGTGCAGAGGAATTGAGAAGGGGAGACAGGAGAGGAGAGGAGGGGATGCGAGGGGGTCGTCTGCACTCGTTGCGCGGCTGGACACCAGCCTCCATGAGCAGAAGGAGGTGGGGGAGGAGGATGAGGACGAGGGGGAGGAACGAATACGACAGCGACCAGCTTCCCAGAAGGGTCAGAGAGGCGGAGGAGGAGGCGACGGAGGAGGAGGAGCAGGAGGAGGAGGCGAAGGAGGATGATGATGAGGAGGAGGAGGAGAAGGAGAAGGAGGAGGAAGAGGAGGAGGAGGAGGAGGAGGAGGACGATTGATTGAATCGCTTCGCCCATTCCGTCGGCATATAGGGAATTATGTACTCTTGCTTATGGGGGCTCTCTCGGGAGGCTTCTTGGTGGCCGCTGGGGGAGTCTTGATCGCGTCGCGGGCCGTCTGGAAGCGTTTTGCCTGTGGGGACTCTTTCGGGAGGCCTCTTGGTGACCTCTTGGGGACTCTTAAACGTGTCGGGTCGTTGGCACCTGCTTGCGTGCTCGGAGGGACATTTGGGGGGCCTCCTGTAGCCGCTTGAGGGCCTCGTGGGGGCCTCCTGAGGGCCCGTTGGGGGGCTCTTGGGGCCTCTTAGGGGCCTCTTGGGTGCTCCTGGGGGCTTCTTAGGGCCGAGGGCTCGAAATGTTGTTTCGTGTTGACCTCTCTTGGGGCGTTCTTGGGGCCTTCTTGGGCCGTTTTGGAGGCCTCTTGGGCCGTCTTGGAGCCCTCTTGGGGCGGTTTTGGGGGCCTCTTGGGCCGTCTTGGGGCGTTGGGAAGCCGAAAAGGTGAAAGCGCCACAATATGGCCAACATCTTAGGAAAACAACACAATGGTGTTTGCCTCCTGGGGCCCTCTTGAGAGTGCTCTTGGAGGCCTCTTGGGCCGTCTGGGGGCCATCTTGGGCGTCCTGAAGCGACCTTGTGGCATCTCGGAGCTCTTGTGGCATCTTGAGGGGCTCTTGGCGGCCTCTTGGCCTTTCTTGGGGCTCTCTGGACGGCCTCGAGGGCGGCGCCCAGGATGAAAACCATCTTCGAGTCGCCCGGGACCTGCCTGGGGTACTTTTCGTCCTGGGACTCCAAGGGGCCGCCCTGCGCGCGCGAAGTAGAATTATTGTAAAGCAGTTACTAGAGATCCTAGCACGCCTCTGGCCCGTTGAGCTGGCGAAGTTGCGCGTGGGCTGACGTCTAGCCTCAGCTCCCACGGTAAGAGACGCCGACGAGCGACGAAGGGCCGGAAGGGACCAAAACGGGACGAGGGACGGAAACCCAGGACCCAGACAGAGCCGACCGAAAGCATCGACCGAACACACAGGACCGAAAATATCAAGGGCCATCAGTTGCCGCGCAGTGCGCTACAGCATTCGCATCTCAACAGTCCCAGTAAGCGTTCTGACGGCATTTGCGGCAGGTGACCGCACGTCTTGCGTTGGAGGACCACTTTAGCAAGGCACACGCACGACACGGTCGGGCGCGTACTTCAGGAAGACTATGAAGGTGCTTGGCAGGAATAGCGCCGCCATGGAGAACAGGCTTCATGGCAACGTGACCACGTACAGGTTCTTGCACAGCTCCTTTTATCACATATCAGCCAGGCACTGGCGATCGCCTGGCGCGCAGACCACCAGGGCGCTCCATGTACCACATGACGTCCATCATTTTGAGATTTGCTGTCGGGATGCTCGCGACCACCACCATCCAGAAGCTCATGACGAGCAGGCTGCGCAGGTCCACCATCGTGAGGGAGACCAGGATGCTCTGGAAGCAGGCGCCCTTCACTATCAGGTAGAACTGGAGCCCCGCGATGACCACAATTGGCATCCTCAGGAAAAGTTCGACGATCACCAGCTGCAAGACGTTCACAAGCTCGGGGGCTTCTTTGTCAAGAAGCAGTGGAGCGCGACCATCGGGATGAACGGGACCACCGCCGTCAAGCGCAGGGACGCCGCCGTGATGAAGGTCAGGAGGCTCTGGAAGCGTACGACCCTCGCGGTCAGGTAGATCTGGAGCTCCAGGAAGACCACATTTTGCAACATCAGGCAAGGCTCGGTGATCACCATCTCCAAGGAGTTCACAAGTGTGATCTCATTGATCAGGTAGCTCAGGGGCACGTTCGTCAGGTGGCGGTGGAGCACGACCATCGGGTAGAACAGGACCACCGCCTTCAAGAAGGCCAGGATGAGCAGGGAACCCACGGTCACCTTCAGCAGGAACATCGACAGGTTATACATCAGGTAGCTAGCTCAGGGGTATTTTCGTCAGGTGGTGGAGCACGACCATCGGGATGAGCCGGACCATCGCCTTCGAGAAGGTCATGATGAGCAGGTTCACGGCCACCATCGGAAGATCGCAATGTTGCGTGAGCACACAAGCGTCGTCGGGATGTAGAACATGAGCCCTGGGATGGCCACAGTTGGCACCATTACGCTCAGCAGGCTGGTCGCCTGCACGAACGATGTGGGCACGAAATGATCAGGAAGATCTTCAGCACGAAACTCATGATAATGAGCAGGCCGTAGATCAGGTAGTAGACCAGGCGACGCAGGTCCAGATGCGTCAGGAAGACCACTGGCAGCAGGAAGGTCACCAGCAGGACACCTGGAGGGGCACGGCCCCAAATAGAGGCTGGAGCGGAACTCCTCCAAGCTTCGCCATTGCAAAGCACGTGGGCACATGGGAGGCGACGGAGAGTGCCGCGACCAGCTGGCTCCCGCGCAGTCCTCTTCAGCGTGACGAAGTAGGTCTTCATCGCCAGCCCCGACGAGCTTGGCGGCCTTCGGGGCTGACCCCATGGCTGGACAGTGGCCGCCGAGGAGGACGGATATTGTCGAGTGCATCGCAAGGCCATGCCGAAAGAGTGCCACTCGGTGGGTGAGCGCGGCGCCGCGACTGTCCCCGTGCTCCTTACGAAATTCTCGACGTCGCCGCCGCGCCAACGCACGCGCTGAGGCAGCTGCCCATTGCTGCTTGGCGGCAGGGCCGGCATCCATCGCGGCCGCTTGCGCGACTCCGCCCGATCCAGGCGCGCTGGCGAGGGCCTCACGAAGTGCGGATGACTTGAGCCAAAGTGGCCAGAAACGATGATTTTTTGGACGCTCGACCTCTGCTTGACCCCCATCGAGTGGGGACCACCTCTCCTCACAGCACAGTCCAAGGAGAGGGCAAACACTGTACGTTCTTCTCCCTCTTGATCTGCTGTGGGTGTCGGCCCTGGGCCACATAATTCCAGGCCGTAAGACCTGCGCCTGTCTTCTTCCAAGCGCAGAGTTCACCCAGCTTCTTGACGCGGCCGCCTGCGCTGTAAAAGCCGCATCGACGGCAGATACAGAGGAAAGAGCCGCTCTCGCAATCCAACACAGCACATTGGTGGTTGAACTGCTCCAAGAGACTCGGGCAAAGGCGAGGAGGCACGACGCAGTGGCCAGGCGCTGGACGCGCATGGCCACGCTTGCCCCTCAAACATGTGCCACACTACCAAAACTCCCCAGTCCAGCTCCACTCGTGGGGCGTCTTAGACGCCTGAGCGGATTGAACCTGGGGCTCGATGAATTGCACACCTGTTAAATCAAGACGCGGCCAGCGCGGCAAGATCTTGGCTGCCAAGGGGACGACAGCCTTCGAAATCTTCATCTCGCGCTCGACGCGAGACAGAACATCAGGGTTGGCCTGGGGATGGACACCAGCACCCTGCTTCGCAGAAAGGTCTGCGTGAAAATGTCCAGTCCTCCGCCAAGCCTCCTGAGCAGAAATTCCTTCTTCATCTACAGCTTCGTGCGCGACGACTTTTACCGGGCCCTGGAGGCGGGGGCCCGCGCCCGCAAAGGCTTCCAGGACCGAGCCCGCGCAGGCCCGTTGCCCCCCCCCCAGGCGGCCCCTAGGCGCCCTGGAGTTCACCGAGACAACCGACGCACAATCAGAGAAAATCGACGCGGGCCCATCTAAGTTGACACCATCAGCAGCTAGTGACGAAAATTCACTTGCCTGAGACGACCGCGGCAAGTGAGACCAGACGGGCCCAGAAACTCTGGCCAGAAGATGGCCCTGATCTGACATGAGCACAAAGGCCCAGCCGGCCCTGGACAATTCACGAATTTTTGATTGAAAGCAACTGCCGCCCAGGAAAAGGTTACCTTCAAATCGAATATTCTCGGGCCCAGGGAATTCCAAACCTGAATCCTGGAAACCTTCCTGGAAGAACTCCATCTTTGCAGCGTCCATGCCCTGCTGACTGACTGGCGGCGACGCGTAGTCTCCAGGATGCGCAAAGGCACCAGTCAAGAAGTTCACGAGGTCCCCTGGGTTCTGGTCACAAGCTTCCCTGGCCCATGAAATAACCTCCGCATCCACGAGCTCATCCCGTTCCTCCTTGCACACTTCACACTCCCATAATCTGTGAAAAACAGAGTCCACCTTAGCATCACAAAGCGGGCGCAGAGGGCTCACTTGGTAGCCATATCTTAGTGCACGGGAGTTGGTCCACAAGGCGTTGCAAGTGAGGGCTCGCACGGAGCCTTCTTCCCCAAGCCGTGAGTTTTTTCGAGCGGAGCCCAGCCGTGGCGACATCGAAGCACGGGCGATTCGATCCATCAATGTCGGGGGGTTTCCGATCGGGGGCCAACCCCACGGTCGCAGGCTCATCTGGGCTTTGGACAGGCTCTAGCGTAAGAACTCCAACGCCACAAAGGAAGTCGCCGTCCACCAGCTTGCCGTAAGCCGCTCTCTCGAGCTGGCGCAGCACTGCCTGGTGCAGCAGAACCTTGAAAAGAGCTGGCGAGAGTTGCGTACAGGAGAGCTCTCGCCCCATGTCGTCGATAAAAGCCGCCATGCTCCTCGTGTCCCATCCGATCCTCCGAAGACTCATGAACATGGCACTCATCGGTCCCGAGACACTCCTCCAAGCGATAGCTTGCTGACGACTGACAAACACACTTTCCCAGGAAGCACGTAAAGTAGCCCAGTCCAGAGTTCCAGGAAAAGCGTTAGTCCTGAGAAGCCAGACCTCTTTCACATAGCCCAACACTGGGGCGGCCGAGCCGTGCTACACAGGGCCCCCCCTCGAGAAGCGACAGAACCGTCGACGATCTACGGGCGGCATCGGGCTTGATGGAACTGGCGGCCACTCGCCGAAGACTGTGCACCTCACCATCCGTAAGGCCCTGGACTTCACAACCGTAAATAACCCAGGCATCGGACCTGAAGTGAGCGCCTTGACAGCTTTCCGCCCAAAGTGAGATCGATGCCGCTTCAAACGCTTAGCTTTGCGCTGCATCTTGATTTTTCTCTCTCTCTCTCTCTCTCTCTACGTTTCCTCATCATCCCTTTGCCCGTCCTGAAACTCTTGCCAGCCGCGTCGTCGCAGCCGAGGTTGATGGCGGGGGTGTCCAGCACACCGAAAGGGCCCAGATCAGCCTCCAGCTGCCGGCCCAAGGCGTCACAGGAGCACACCGAGGCAACCTTGCCGAGAGCCACGAAGCCCCCTGACATCTGCCTGATGCCCGCCAGAAGCAGAGAGGCCATGTTCAGGATGGTAGGTCTAACATAAGACCTAGCGCCAATCGCCGAGATGCTAGCGTCGTCGATATAGGCGCCGAAGGATGAATATTCCGATGTCACCCGATCGACGCCGCGCAGGCTGAGCGAACGAGGGGCCGCGTCGAAGGCGTCGAGGGCATGGACTCGAATGAGGGTAGTGGCCATGCTGCAACCCGCGATAATGCCATGAGTGGCCCTCAGAGGGCCAGCGATGATTCCAGAGAGGCAGATATATCGGGCCGACTTGTGCGCCGCCAGACACATATGAAAGACCCCCAAAGGAAATTGATGCCTACGGCCTCTGAGCCCCAAAGCCTCAAGGTCTATCAGCTCATAGTACTTGCGCATGTCCCACAGCACAGTGGCCGAGAAAGCACCTCGCCTGACACCAGCTTCCGACCTAAAGGCCTGGCGCCACACACAATACATAGCCCCTCTGTGCCATCCAGCGGCCCAGTAGCCCCTGGAAAAGCGCGTTTCCCAGGCCTCCGCCAGGGGTCTACGAGCCCGCCCCCCAGAGGCGGCACGCCGAAGGGAAAATGCCTATCGGCCGAAATCCCCCTTTCTCTTTGGCCAATAAGGCCACCATAACGGCCGAAAGCTGGGTCGGAAGAATGCCCGAGCGCTCAGCAAGCGAGAGGATCAAGCTGAGCACTTCCAAACTGGCATCACTGAGGTGCTGAAAATGCCTCATGTGAAGACCATCGTAGGACACGGCGCTTCTCTTAGGATACTTCCTGCTCAGCTTCCGAGAATACTCAACCTCCAGAAGGGGGAAGGGGTTCAGAAGGCTTGCACCTGAGCTTCGGAGGAGACACACGGACCTGCCAGAGGCCCGAGTACGTTTTGACCTCAGCGTCGAGCAGCTGCTGGGGATCTGACACAAGCTGACCCTCCGAGGAGAGGGTAGTAGTGGGCTTCCAGCAAAGGGGGTCTTTAATAGCACAATGAGCATTGCGAGCACCCTGGCTGAGTTTCTCCGTCAACCAAGCGTGCCAGTCTTGACCAGCTACCCGCTGGTAATGCTTCGTGCACGCAGTTAGGACCTCTTTCTGACGCGTGAGAAGGGCCTCCAGCCTAGCAAGCCGAGCAGCAAGCTGGTCAGAAGGTCCATCCAAGTCGCTCAGAGAGGGATCTCCAGCAACATACAAGGTGTCGCCCCCTTCCTCGCCACTGCAAGGGGCAGGGGAGGCAACATATTCTGAGGCCAAGTTTTTCAAATAAGCATCCAGCTCAACGTGGGGAGGAAGGTTGAAACACTCCCAGTCCTTGAGCGAGTCCCTGATGTCATGCAACAGAGATTTGTTGTCCTGGTGGGTCAGCTGACAAGGGGCCCACTCAGACTGGAGCAAACCGGCGATCAGCTCGCCGACGGCGCGCCCGATGTCAGCCGGGGCGTGTCCAGCCCAGACCGAAGGTAAAAGTTGAGCAGCAGCACGAAACCTAGAGCAAAACCACCTCATGGCACGGAGCTCTGGGCGCCGCCGAGCTTTGACATCTTTCTGAAGGATCGACTTCCATATAACCTGAGGGTCCTTACCTCTAGTCCCTAAGCAGGGAAGCTCCCCCCCCCCAGCCTCTGACAGAGCTCTATCCTGGGACCTCAGAGCTCTCTCCCCCAACTCCAAGAACATGTGAGCTCTTCCAAAATCCCCTGGGGGCGGCCCCGCACCCGCAGGGGCATCCACTGGGAGAGGGGGGGGGGGCTTGCGGAAACCCAGGGCCTGCAGGCGGCAGAGAGCAGGGTAGATTTCCAGCTCCACCACGAAGTGCGGCGAGAACTCGCTATCTACGCATCGCTGCACTTGCTTCACACCTCTAGCCAAGCCTTCAGAAACGAGGAAATAGTCGTTGTCCGACTGGCGAGCTCCAAAGCAGGTAGGCGCACCCGTCGAAATAAGTTCGCATCTAGCTAACTCCGAGAAGCCCGTATCTCGGAGCTCTGGGGGCTCGAGGTTGAAATCGCCCCCCACCACGGACGAGAGGCCTTCGAGGACCACATGGGAGCCAATAGCCTTATGAAGCTCCAACTGCCTGGCCGCGAGGCCCTCCGTGTCGAACCCGTATACTGAGACGAGCCCAAACTGACCACCCCTTGGGAGATGAGCAACAGCACCCAGAGCGCGGCCACTGTAGATCTGCAGAGGCTGGTGGAGACCCATGAAAGCCCTGGCCAGGATCGCCACGCCTCCTGACGTGCCTCCTTCAGCCGTCCGAACCGCAGGCTCCCACAGGCTCTTCCACTCATGATCGAGACAATATTTCGAATCACGACCAATCGAATCTTGGTCAGCCAGGTGGTGCTTCTGCACCAAGATGACGCAAGGGGCCACTGCCGACGGAAGCCAATCACGAAACGAGCCCCAGCTATTGCAATTTGCCGTGGCGATTACCATTCCGAGAGAGTCTTCGTCTGGCCTGGGCCCTGGGCCTGGGACTCCGGGGCCCGAGAGATAATTATTAAAGTTTGTATTAAAGTTGGCTCCTTCAAAATTGGGCTCCCAACTTTCCCCACTCCGACGAAAAACAACACTCGCGTGAGGTAGAAGACGGGTCAGGCGGGGAGCCGACAAGGGAGCGAGAGGGGATAGGCCCCCCACCTTCAGCAGCCACTCTCCCCGCCCCCACCACCGTTGGAGGCGGGGGGGCGAAAGGACGAATCAGACTTTGAGAGCACCCGTGAAAGCCCGGCACGAAGAGCAGGGTCAGCTCCCGAAGGCCGCGACGGGCCCGAGCCGCCGCCAGAAGAGGCGGCTGGGGCTCCACCGCCAGCCTCAGTAGACGCCCGCTCAGCACCTCCAGGCGCTGCCGCACCAGCTCCTTGACCAGGTTCTGCAGCACCGTCGGCACCTCCAGGGGCCTCGCCCTCCAAGGTCCTCTTCTTCTTCGACAACCGCTTGAGATGCTCCTGGCGCTCACGACGAGCGGCTTCAAGTTGGGGCGACGCGTTGCCGAACAGCTGCTTCGCCATGTCCTTGAGGCCTGCGCGCAACTGAGCCTTGCGCGACTCCAGCTGCTCCTTGTCGTCAGTAGACATCTCGAACTCCTCTGGCAAGTTAGCGCAAAGGTCATCATCAAGTTCGAAGCTGAGCTCCGTGCCCTCCACCAGGTCCCGCAGGCTGATGATCGGGCCAGTCAACTGCTTGGGCTGCGCCGACGGGACCACCTCCAGGCTGATCTGCAACCAGCTCCGAGCACTGCCGCTCGTAGCCGTCCAGCTCGTCAGCCATTTCCGGAATAGAGGCTTCATGCGCCGTGGTCGCCTCCCGCCAGCGCCCCAGCGTCGAGATCTCCTTGCCAAGCGTCTTTTCCACCTGCCTGATCTTGCTCTGGGTCTGCGAGGCACGGGTGTGGAGCGAGGCCTCAGGTTGAGCACGAGCAGGTTGAAGTAGCTTCGCGCGGGCGGACTCGTACTGCTTGGCCAGGTCAGATTGGCCTTGACGAGTGGCAATGGCGGCCAGATGCTGAAGGTCCTCCGCGCAGACACCCTCCGTGTTGATGCCGCCAGTGCTTGGTCCACCACATCCGCCGACGGGGCCAGGAGGAAGCGGAACAACACGAGAATTGCCAGCATCATGAAGACGAGTACCAGCACCATCTTGGGCAGGGCGACGCTGCGGGTCGACCTCCGAGCACGTGGAGCCGTTCCAATGGGCCTTGCAGTGCTTGCAATGCCACACCCAGCCCAGGTTGCGAGCACATCCGCATGAGCCGCACCGCCAGTTCGCATGGCGGTAAGGTGCAGGGCGACTTTGCCAGGGCGCAGGGGCCATGCGCGCGCGCCGAGACAAGCACCGAGCCATTGTGACTCGCGACAGCAATGCCCTTCTGAAGTTCGCTGCCGACAAGCTCATCCAAAATGGCTGGAGCCAGAAGGGCTGGCCAGAAACGAGGAGGAGGAAAATAAGGAGGAGGAGGAGGAGTGTCAATTCAAGATGCATGCATCAGCCATGCTGGATTATTTGTCATGTTCTTGTTCCTCTCTCTTTCTCTCGTATCCCGAGGCTCCTCTTCGTTAGTCCCTACAAGCCCTCCTTCCTACGTCAGGAAGCAGCACCTGTAAAGACCCGCACCCAACGGGCCTGCCATTGAGGCGAGAGCCCCGTTTTGAAAAGGAAGAGTCTTGACTGCTTCAAGCTGGTATGATCATACAGTTGTGAACGCGGTGTCCAGTGGTATCACCGTTTTGAACATGGCCGCCCCCAGTTGCGTAGTGATTGTGCAAGTTTTCGCAAAAGGGTTGATGACGGCTGGGGAGGGCTGAGATCGCAGGAGGAGGATTCGGCGAGATTCGGCGAGCTAGTGAGTGTCCTCGATGCCTTCGCGAGCCCTGCGCAGACACCTGGGCCGCCCTTGGGCCAGATTGAACACGGTTGAACCTTGTAGCTGAGGATGCTGAGTCCCAGCTTCGCGCGTCCTTGCAGTGCAAGCCCGCGCCACTCGCTCACGAGCTGATCCCAGCATTATAGCCGACTACGCTGGCTCTGTTGCACGCACGCTCCCGAGCCTCCTGCGCACGAGCTGATCCCGACTTTGTGTCTGACCGTATGTTTTGCCACTGCCCTCGGCTGGCTCCGACGATCGGCCCAGCGTTGTAGCTGATCATGTTGGGTTCGCATTCTTCACATCCTGCTGCCACTGCCTGCCTTTATCGCACGCCTTGGCACACTCGCTGTACCTATTGACGTCTGTCTCCAGATTCACTTCCGCGAACATGCAGCTGCCACCCTTGCACGCCCTTCTCCCCTCCCTCAACCCTGGTCCCAGCCCAGAGGCGGTGGTCGTGGGGAGGGCCTGGCTCTTTTTCGATTCCTTCCACCCCGGTCCTTTCTTCATGGCAGGGGTCATGGGTTGGACCTGACATGCCTTTCACACAGTCGCTGTAGTGGAGGGCGTCGCTCTGCCTATCCTTCTCGAAGGCTGTGACTCGAGTGTGGTAGTTGGTGAAGTTGGGATCTGCTTAAGCCCGTGTCTGGCCCCCCCCTGCTCTTTCTGTTGCCAGCTCTACTCGCACCCCGTGAGCCGAGTGCTGTCCTGATGACGTTAGGCTCAACTTCGTCCTTCGTTGGCAGTCACTGCCATTTCCACTGCGACCTTCCGTATTCAACGCATCGTTTTCTGCTTTTGGCTTTTGCTTGCCTTGCTCGCACGCCGTGGCCCCGGCGCTGTAGCTGATGACCGTAGGCTCTACGCCGTCCCCCCGCCTGCCTCTATTGCCCGCCCTGTCCGACCGACAGTTTCTGCTGCCACTGCTAATCTGATCGAACACACACACAGACCTCCGCAATGCTGGTGATGACGCCCGTCTGCGCTTTCTTGCGGAAATCCTGGAGTGCTCGGGGCTTCGTGCAGCGTGAACCGTTTGTGGACTCCTGCGGAGAGGTGCTCGCCCTGGATGGGTGGTGCGCAGGTCTCGGGATGGCGGGACGAGGGTTGCGGAGGAAGAGAGGACGAGAGCGGGGATAAGTCCAGGGACTAGGATGGCACCTTGATGAGACCCAGTCCCAGCTGTGTAGCTTCTGACGTTGGGTGCCACCACTCTTTCTGGCCCGCGGCGCCAATGCCATTCTCAAGTCTGCCGTCCACAACTCGGGACCCCACCTGCCCGCGAGGAATGGCTTGTTCCAAGGACAAGTATGAGGAGGGAGAAGAGATGCTGGTTGAGCAGGGGGGAGCAGTGAACGAGAAGTGAAGAACGCGGAACGAGGCACGGGGAAGGCACCAGGAATGATGACCGAGGAGAGAGGAGCGAGGAGGTAAGAGCGAGGAGGTCAGACAAAAGTGGCGGCGGCCAGCCTTCAGCCTCATCACGGAGCTCCCGAGCCCCCATTGGCGCAACTACTTCCTGGTGTGCGGCTCTGAGCTATCTGGGCACGCCTTGCGGCAGCCCCCGCGGGCCACCCGCCAAACCTTTCGTGGCCATGTCGCTCGGTGCTCCTTCCGCTCGCGAAGGGTACTGTTCGCTGACGCATACCGTCAAGGATGGAAAGCCCCCCCCCCTCACGAATCACCCCACTGTGGCGGGTGGGATTAGCGAGGATATTGGCGGGGAGGGCTGACAGGGACGCTTCCCCATCCTCGCCATGCCTGGCCATCTGATCGTCCTTGTCCTGCTACGTTCGCGGCCGCTACTGCTTCCCCCCGGCCCTCACTCTCTCTTGCCCCCCCACCCGCCCGCCTCCCCCCCCTCCCTCGGCCGGCTTGATGTTCGGCTGGCAATGCATGCGCCATCGCGAGCTCCGCGTTTCCAACTGAACATGCGGCCCCTTGGCCATCCTGAAGGGCGCAAGCTGTGAGGGATGCTGACAGTTGGAGAAGCTCACGTCGTTTACCTGCCCGGCGGAGGGCGAAGGGGGGGGCCAGGGGCGCAGCGGGGGCAGGGCGGGAGAAAGGACATGGGGGGGGGGAGGAGAGAGGAGGCAGGCGAGCTGTTTTTTCCCGGTAAGGCCTCCGGCCCAGGGTTCTCTTTCGGGTTGCGGGCCAAAGGCCCTCCACCAGAAGGGTGTCGAGCAGCGGCGCCAGAATTGGACACGTTAAAATAGGCGTGCGGAGGGGGGGGTCTCCAACATGAGTCTCGGCACGCATGCGTTCGGCACGTGTTCTCATGCGTTTCGGGCCACGAGGGGGCCGCAAACGAGGGACCCAAGTTGCAGGTGCCGAATTCTTTACGCCCAACATGTCCCTGGCGCGTGCGCGCGGGTTACGCGTTTTCATTTGTCCACGGAGGCCCTAAGAGGGGACCCAACGTGGGGGTGGCGAATTCTTTATATGGAAAATTGCGTGCGCGGAGGGGGGGGCCAACAGTGGGGGGGGGCCCAACATGCGCCTAGCGTGTGCGCGCGGAGCTTTCGGGCCACGACAGGGCCGTGAGCGAGGGACCATGCTGCAGGGCCCGAATTCTTTACATGTAAAAATACGCGCGCGGAGAGGGGGGGGCCACATGCCCTTGGCGCGTGCGCGCGGGGCACGTGCTTTCACGTGTTCACGGGCCCCAGGGGGACCGACCGAAATTGGGGGGGAGCTAATTCTTTGCACGTAGAATTACGTGCGCGGAGGGGAGGGCCCAACAGAGGGGGGGCCCAACATGCGCCTGTCGTGTGCGTGCGGATCATGTGTTTTCAAGCGTTTCGGGCTACGATTGGCCTTTATGCGTAAAATTATTTGTGCGGAAGGACAGGGGGCCCAAGATGCCCCTGGCGCGTGTGCGCGGGGCACGTGTTTTCGGTTGAGAATCTTTACACGTGAAAATACGTGCGCGTGCGCGGGGGGGCGGGGGTCAGCACGCGCCTAACAGGTGACAGACGTTGCCTTGCAGGATGGGGACGACGACGATGAGGAGCAGGAAGGTGGAGGCCGGAAAATGATGAGAAGGAGGAGGAGGAGGCGGATGAGGCGGAGGAGGAGGAGGGTGGGCGGAGGAGGAGGAGGAGGAGGAGGAATAGGAGGAGGAGGACTAGGAAGCGGAGGAGGAGGACTAGGAAGCGGAGGAGGAGGAGGAGGAGGAGGAGGTGGGAGGAGGGTGGGAGGAGGGTGGGAGGAGGGTGGGAGGAGGGTGGGAGGAGGGTGGGAGGAGGAGGAGGAGGAGGAGGAGGAGGAGGAGGAGGAGGAGGGTCGTTCGGATCGTGCGGATCGAATCGGTTCGCGAAGGCCCCACGGATTCGCGCCGAAGAATCTGAGGCCCCTTCGGGCCGACCCCGAGCCGTGCCAAAATTCCAGGATAGCCCCTAAAGGGGCTGCTTGGTGGTGGGGTGTAACCCTTGCCACATACGAGTTAGCCGGGCCTACCCCCGATCACCCTTTGGGCCCCAGGGTGACGTGGGGAAACCATGCCCGACCACCTGCCACGGGCGTACCTGGCACACCTATGACAGAAAACATAACTGTGGCGGAACACCAGTTTGTGCCCCGCTCTTCGCTCTCGGTCGACAGTGACCCCCCCCCAGTCCAGAGCGGCCCGCGACCAGAGAGTGGAGGCCAGGGGGGGTCGGACGCCTCCAGGGCCTCCCCCCTCGCGCCCTCGGCCGCCCTACGTCGGTTCCCCAGGAGAGTCCAGGGCGGGGTCGGGTGGGTTCGAATTCGTCAAATTCGAGCCCTGCTCAGTGTCGACGATGTCTCTACCTGGGACTCCTACATCGGCCCCGGATTCCAAGATACCCCTAACCAATTTGAATTTCTGAACGTAGGCCTCCCTACACCAAGCGTCGTGGGGTGGGCATTGTACCCGGCCCCCCGCTTAGCGGGTGGATCTGCTACCTGGTTTCCCTCCCACTTCGCGCGGCCGATCGTCTCTCGCTCCTCGTGCGAAGCGAGTGCCTTCACTTTGCACACCGGCACGGTGCGCAGGCTCAGACCGCAGAGCTCGGCGATGGCCTCGAAGACCGGATCCCAGTGTTCCAGGTGCTGCCCGTCTGGCAGTCGACGAAGATCCGCATGGGCGGGTTGCCAACCTTCAGCGCCTGCAGCAGCACAGACAGCTTGGCGCGCAGGATGCTCTGCGTTCACTGCTCCAGGCAGCGGTCCGTAGCACGCGTAGTCCATGTCGTAGCGTTCGCTGTCGGCCTTCAGCTTGATGAAGCTCCAGCCTCCTCGTCGCAAGGGCGCACATCAGAGGAATTATTTACCCACTATTACTTAGAAAAAGGTGTGGGCGAGAAAATACATGGGATGTCCGCCCGGTGCCCCGTCGGACGAGCGGAAATGCGAATGCAGTGGCGCGCGCGGTCGCGCGCGACCCGCCGCTGGTAGTATTGTGAGCGCGCGCGCGTCCGCTCGCATTATCCCCGGCCGTTCGGGGGTGCGCAGTGAATGTCGCTCAGAGGGGCCTCAGGCAGGGGGCCCAGGGGCATCCCCGCTCGAAGTTAGCCCGTCGGCGCGCGCAAAACGCGAGTGCAAGCCTGCAGAAATCCATGCGCTCGATGGCCGCTCGGCGCCCCGAGCGCACAAGGGAACCGATCTGGCCACCCTGATCGCCCTTAGGATCCATACACGGTCCCTTAGACGGCCCCGTGATGCGCCGAGAGGGTTTTTGGAGCGCCCCGGGAGCCGAGCTTTTCCCCGAAATGCGCCCCAGCCGCTTCAAATGAGCCCCGCGAGCTCCAAGAAGGCCGACACTCGCGCCCGAGAGAACGGAAAACGCAGAAACTATGCATTTCAGTGCGGTCGCATTCTGCGGCGTCACTTCCGAGCGCCACTCGTTCTGTGAATATTTTGAGGGTTCCGCGTGCTCCCAGGAGGCCAGGGCGAAAGCTCCAGCGTGTTTTTGGCAGAGAGCGCGAGTTCCCAGGACCTCCCCAAGAGAGAGCCATAGAAACCCGCCAGGAGCGCCCCGCAACGCTTCGCGAGGCACACAGGACATGGTTCCATCCTCCAGTTACGCCTTGAGAGCCCTGCAAGAGATTCGCGAGAGGGCTCCGAGAATGCCGGGGGAGCCCTGGGGCCAAAAACGGCCTGGAGTCATCATGCATGTATTTTTTATAGCCCCGACATGCATGCAAGAGCGACACTTAAGAGGCGCCCGGGAAACATCCAGTTTACCAGGACCCCCCCCAAGGAATTCCGTAAAGGGTTTACCAGTTTCTTACAGTTTTTGTTTCTCCACTCCGTTTCCGGTCCACCGTCTCGTCCTGCCTTAGCCACCTTCAGTACATCAATAGTTGTCGCATTTTTCGTGCGCCAGAAGTGGAGCGGACACCAGGGCATGGGCATGAGACTCCCTTTGTCTACCATCCACTGTTTCTCTTTGTTCTCCCCCTCATGCTTCTCAATGACATTTTTCTCGTCACCGCCCTCCCCTTTTCCAGTTCATTCCGTCATGCCCTGACTCTTTCCTCATGTTTTTTCTCTGCGCTCGTCCCGTCGACTTGCTTCTCTATCTCCTCTCTTCGTTTTCCGCGTCCCCTCTCAGCCTCCTCCCCCTGATCTTGCCAGCTCGTGTGACGTGTCTGCGCCATTGTTTTCCGTCGGTGCTGCGTGTTTGCGTGGGCATCCCGTCTTATTGTTTCGTGACGCGATCCTCCTCCTCCGTTCCCTGCATCGTGTGTCAGCCAAGACGTGCTTTAACCCAGCTTCTGGTCTGGCTGGTTTTCTCGTTGCGAAGGTGGTTGCCCATTTGATCAGAGACGCCCGCGGCGAACCACCGCCGCCCATGCCTTTGAGGGAAGCGCCTCTGTGGCCAAACGTTTGGCCACAAGACGGCCGAAACCATCGGACGATGTATTCCCCCAGCCGCTGTGGAAACCTTTCGGGGACCACCTGGGAGAGGATGGCGGGGGAGATCAGGAGGAGGAGGAAGAGGGGGGTGAGGAGGACGAGGAGGAGGAAGCCGTGGCCATTTTGGCTCAAGGCCGTTTTCGGGACTTCGTCTCGAGGTTCTCCAGGACGCGCCCGCTGCTGGAGTAGGAAGGCATCGCGGCCTCGCTCCATGCAGCAGACTTTCCCCGCGGGGTTGAGGCAATGTTGTCATACCTCTCGAGCTGCCAGTCCCCATGCAGTACTGGTCAGTGCAAGGCGTGCTCTCGCTAGGTTGCCTATCGGCACTGGCATTGCTTGTGTGGTTACAAGTGGCGAACAACTTCGGCCAAACGGGAACGCAGGAGGAGCCAGTCAAGGGGGCGGGCTTCAATTTGGCAGCCGCAGCCGCCCCCGACGCCGACCAACATGCTCCCGAACCGCCCACGGCCGCAGACGGGGAGAACTGGTCCGAACACCACGTTGGATATCAGGCATTTGATCGAGGGGGCGCCACCAGCTTCGCGCCAGATCGCCGAGGCCCGTCCCAAGTACCTCAAACCGCCGAGCTTACCTGTTCAACATCAAGCATTCAAGGCCGACCTGGCGCACCAGATGGAAGTGCTGGGGACCCTCATCCTGGCCATC